TATTTATATGCTTTGAGACAAACTAAATTTGGATACATCACTGACTGGAGACCTTTAGCTTATGTGATGGAAAAATCTAATTCTAGTCATCTTAATCATTATAGAAATTCCACTGATATAATTTACTCCTCATCAAAGGAGCTTTTGTGGAAAGAATGTGGTTTTGCACCACCTGCTCCAGGTATTTATGGCTATCCATCACAGCCTGAATTATGGAAAATTAGAGCAGCTTTATATGGATTACATGCATGGAAAGGTGTGCATACACATAAATCTGGACATCAGTTTCAGCATATCTTTCATTTCAAATGGCAAGAAGCCCATTTTACTTATGCTTGTGTAAAACTTCCTTATGTTTGGCTAGTTGGAACTATTACCTGGAATAAAGTTACTGGAGAAATACATTGTCCAGGCAAATGTCAATTGTTCACATGCTTTAATGTGTCTATGAGATTTAATTTTTCCCAAAATAGAATTTATCTACTCCAAGCCAGAACTGGTGTGTGGCTTCCCGTGAAAATGATGAGACCATGGGAGGAATCTCCAGCCATTTCCATCCTAGCAAGTCTAGCCCAGAAGCTGACAAAGAGAATGAAGAGATTCATTGGCCTTCTAAAAATTTCAGTTCTTGGACTGATAGCTATCACTGCAGAAGCTGAGGTTGCAGGAGTAGCTCTCACAGAGTCTGTAAAGACTGAAAAATTTATATCTAAATGGCATTATAATGCTGAGAGACTATGGGTATCTCAAAAACATATTGACACTGAAATACATAACAAATTGGCTGATTTAGAACAAACAGTAATTTTGTTAGGTGACCAATTGTATAGTTTAGAAAAACAAGTTAAATTGAAATGTGATTGGAATGTTTCTTCTTTTTGTGTAACCCCTGTTCTTTATAATGAAACATTATTTCCTTGGAGTAAAGTCAAAAAACATTTACTAAATCATGAGAATTTAACTGCTGGCATAATTGAGTTATAACATCAAGTTTATAGTACTTTTGAGCAAAAGTTAAAACAAATTAATGGAGATGAAATTTTAAAAGATATATCTGAAGGAATTGCTCAACTAAATCCAAAAGATAAAATTTATACTTTATTTGGAACTTCTGCCGGTTCTCTGTTCTTGTTTTGCCTAATTGGATTTGTGTTTTATTGGATCATAAAGAAACTTTTACAGGTAAAGAAAACAAGTGAGCAAAACTCTGCTGTATTTTTGGCTATGGCAGCAGTTCAAGCCAATAATTAAGAAGGGGAAAATGTAGGAGATAAGCTCCCCTTGCTCAAGACATGGCAGTTCACCTCAATGTGCTCCTCCAGGAGATTGGTTCTGAGAAGCAACTCTTTGAAGATCGAGCTTCTGTACCTGCCTATAGATATGCAGTAATATGCAGAGTGTCTCTTCCTAGGAGGTGTGGAAAATCAGCTGAGGTCATAGCTGGGGGTGAACAGACCAGTCTTCAAGCATTGGGTTCTATTCTCTGCCTTCTCTCTTCATTAACATTATAATCTCTAGTTCCATTTGGGCTAAAAGGAACAGACAGCCAGTCTCCATTATGTTTTTACTCTAAACAAAATCAATTGTATATGTGTTCCTCAGCCTTCACACTAAATTGTAATCTTAAATGGTAGCTTCCTAATGTTACTTCACTTCTTTGTATATGTGTTAAATTCTTACTGAATGTTGGAAAGTATATAACGTAATCAGTAAAGTTTAGCTGGGCCGCCAACCAGAGCGAGTCACGGTCTCCCTTTAATCATCATTCCGTCTGCAGTTCTTTCCCCTGCGTCCCCGATCAGAGGCTCCAAAGAACACACAACATCACCATGCTTACATGGGACAGTCCTTAACCTAACCCATGACTTCTGTGTCTTAGTACAACTCATCCCCAAGCTAATCTATCACTCAGAAGAAGATATATACCAGGCCTATGAGCCCTGTTCAACTGCAGGTAGAATTAGTAAAATTAAAAGGGAACTGGTTACCACAGTAACCCTAGCCATGTTCATGGGACTTGGCATAGCAGGTGCAGGCACAGGGATTTCCTCCCTAGTTCTATAAGACAAAAACTATGGAGCCTTACATGCTGTAATTGACCTAGATATTAAAAGAATAGAAAAGTCTATCTCGCACTTACAGGAGTCCCTAACTTCCCTCTCCAAAGTAGTATTGCAGAACAAAAGATGTCTGGACATATTATTTCTTCGGCAAGGTGGCCTATGTGCCGCATTAGGAGAAGAATGCTGTTTTTATGTAGACCACTCAGTGTTGTGAAAGAATCTATGGCTCTAGTCAGAGAAGGGTTACAGAAAATAAAACTAGATCAAGAACAGTCACAAAATTGGTTTGAATCATAGTTAAACTGGTCCCCCTGGTTAACAATCTTGATCTCAGCCTTGGCAGGACCCCTGATGATACTCTTGTTGTTACTCACCATAGGCCCCTGTGTCATCAAGAAGCTCCTAAACTTCGTCAAAGACCAAGTAGGAGCTGTGCAACTACTAGTGCTCAAAAGCCAGTACCAACCACTGTCCCCTTCAGACCTAGAACTAGAACCCATCCAGTCCCAAGATTGGGACTCTTAGACACAAGTCAAGGGGGGAATGAAAGAACAAGACTGACTTCATCTTAAGCTTAAGTTTCAGTTTCCCCGAAGTTAAGTTTCAGGTTCTCAGAAGTCAGGACACAGGCACATGACACCATCTCAGTGGCCCCTACCAATCAGAAAGGTGCACAACCTCACATAGAGGTCACTCCTTTCCCCTCGCCCATAAAAGCCACCCTCCCCTTAGAACAGGGCCTTCAGCCCAATCTCACTGTGCCGAGATACTGGAGGCCCAGGCTTGCGAGCTTGAATAAACTCTCTCTCCTGCTTTTGCATTGGACCATGACTCCCTGGTGGTTCTTGGGGACATCGTGATCTGGGCACAACACAGTCACCAAGGGGATGAGGGGTGCAGAGGCTCTCTGTGTGAATTACCTCAGTCACATGCTCCTCTTGCTTCCCTGGGAGGAAGGAAGAATTAGGCAGAAAAGAAAACAAAGACAATTGAAAATAAGGCCAAGGAATGCAAAAATTGTAACCTAATTCTTTGTACCCTCAACTAACCTGAAACAATAAAAAATAAATAAATAAGAAGTTAGAAATTATATGAGGAAATTTTTTTAAAAAGAAGAAAAGAAGGTCAGAGGTCTGGCAGGATAGGTACAGACAGCAAAGGCAGTTGACTTGTCACAATGGGAACCCTTCAAGAGGAGCATGACTGAATCCTTATGGGCCTTTTTACTTCATCTAAGTAGGGGTCGGGTTGATGACCATTAAGGTAACATGTATGTGTGTACCCAGAGGCAATATATACATATATATTCATATGCACGTATTCACAGAAACATGTTTGGAAGGCTAGTCACCAAAATATTAACTAACAGTGGTTATCTGTGGGTTGATCTTGCACCTTTTTTCAACAATAAATATGTATCAATTCTCTAAACTGTGCTACATCAATGTTAAAACAGTTCTTTCAAGATTTTTCTGTAAAAAATTGATATAACACCATCTTAATATAATAAAGAAAAATCAATGTGTGAAAAGGAGAGTTTTCTGTAACAGACAAAGTTTTAGACACAGGGGCAGTGCCTATGGCTCAGTGAGTAGGGTGCCAGCCTCATATACCGAGGGTGGTGGGTTCAAACCCACCCCGACCAAACTGCAACAAAAAAATAGTTGGGCATTGTGGCAGGTGCCTGTAGTCCCAGCTACTCGGAAAGTTGAGGCAAGAGAATCGCCTAAACCCAAGAGCAGAAGGTTTCTGTGAGCTGTGATGCCATAGCACTCTACTGAGGGCAACAAAATGAGACTCTGTCTCAAAAAAAAAAAAAAAAAAA